TCTATCTATCTATCTATCTATCTATCTATCTATCTATCTATCTATCTATCTATCTATCTAAATAACTCTAGGATGAGCATCTTTATGGTCCTCATTAAAATTTCTTAAAAACTGCCTCTCTGGTGGCTCAGGGTTAAATACACAGCACTATGAAGCTATCCACAGCCACTGCAGCGTGAGTTTGATCCCCGGCCAGGGAGGTGACCCACATGGCTCAGCTGACCTCTCCTGTTTACCTGCTGCTCCCCTCAGCAGTGTATTTCAGTAGATCTGCTCCCTACTTTGTCTCTAGTGAAACCTCTCACCCCCACCTTCCCTGCCCTGCATCTCTGGCCTACACCCCGTTCTTGTATGCATAAATAAATAAAAATAGATCTTCAAAAAAAGCTGCTTCCTAGAAAGGCTGAATGACTGCCATGGGGAGAGCTCACTCCTGCAGGGAGTAGACCCTGGGGGTGAAGGGCTCCCTGCCTTCAGGGATGGCTGGTTTCTACCTGAACTTCTAACACTAGTGGCACAGCAGCCTGAGGACATTAGGGATTCTATAGCTCTGACCACCCCCAACTCTGGTCTTGCGTGGGTTCAGATGCAGCTAATCCACACCCTGGCAGCCTCCAGGAAGCAGGCTCTGGAGCGTTCCCAGACTCTGATGAGGGGTGTCAGGAAACCTTTGATGAAGAAGACGGATATTCCTGAGGGGGAGATGATGTCTCATCGGCAGCGGAAATGGGTGCACAGCCTCCCCAATGACTGGATCACAGAAAACCCTGTTCTCTACAGGTAGGTGCTCAGTGGCCAGGCCGCACTCCCACTCACTGATGTGGGCCCTGGCGGTGCCATTCCCTGAAATGGAAGCAGATGGGATGGGGCTGGGAGATCAGGAATTCCTTCTGAATGTTTAAGTTTAGATGTTAAACGTGAGACTACAGCACATGCCTCCCTGAGCTGACCCCTCAAGTAGGAGAATAGGCAAGGGGTTCATCTTGGCTTCCACTTGGGAGACTGTAGCAGGAGCTGGACTTGGGGGCTCATCAAGCTTAGCACAGCCTGAACACCACCTCTCTGGTCTGGGACTGAGATGGGGGGGGCGCTTCAAGGGGGAGCTCAGTTTTTCTCTATCTACCTTTGTTTCATAATTTCACCCTCTTTGGAGCAGGATGGGGTTCTGGGCTTGTAACAGTGCTCTGGAGAGACCCTCCTGCTCCAAATTGCCCCGAGGTGGTGGGATGGGGGTTGATTGTTCTCTTCACTTATGCCTCAGGGAACAGGAAATAATCAAGATGAAGAAAGCTCAAGAGAGCAAGAGCACCATTGCTGCCCGAGAAGTGCGGGGCCTCATGGACACCGTAGGTGAGCTCTATCCAGCCTCAGAAAGGCCTGGCCTGGGCAGGAGTGTCCAGTGTGGGTTTCCTGGGACCTCTGCTGTGGAGTACCTGAAGCTGCCACTATGTCCATCTGCTCTGTCACAGAATCTTCTCCCCAGGGGGAGAAGGACCTTCATAGAAACTTCTCTCTGCCTTCTCCCCAGGGAGAGCTGGGAACAGAAGGGCCTCCTGCACAGTCAATTTTTCCTAATAACAACCAGTTAGCTAAAGGATGTTGTCTGCTTTGTTGACCTAGCAGGAGTTTTTCTAGTCTCCATTTTCTTCCTTCGTAGAGCATTGTCCAGGTTTAACTTTACCCAATCCTTATGATAAAAAAACATAAAACATGCTCACTGCATACATGCAGAAAGCAGAAAGTAAATGCTTCCCTCTATGCACTCTCCCAAGAGTGCCCCCTTGACACCACATGTTACCCAGTACCAGGCACAAATTTGGGCAGCAGAACGCTGGGGGGGGGGGGTTGCAGACCCAGCGCCCACCAGCCACTGTCTTCTAGCCCCCGTGTGTGCGCTCATTTGTAGGTGAGGCCAGGACAGACCTGCAGCTTGGCCTCATCGGAGGGGTCCGGGTTAGAACAAAACCTGGGATCAGCTAAGGGCTATACAAGCATCGTTTAATCTTATTTGCCAATGCATTTGCTGCTATAAAACTTTTTCTCTTTTAAGCATAAATTGTCCCATCTGTACATACCATTTTGGAACTTTTCCTAAGCTTTTCACTCCATGTGGGAGATTTTATTCGCCATACGACTTCTGGATCACCTTTGTCATTAAGTCTTTTTCCTAAACCCTCTGACACTGTGGCCTGGCTTGGAGGTCCATCTCCTAAGCCAAGGCACTTTTTAATCTGCTCCCTTTTCCTGGATGCACTCCCCTCACCTTGGAGCTCTGAGGCAGCCTCAGCACCTCTGTTCTCTCCCAGTTCCCGAGAGCATCAGCACCCTCGCCCCTCAAGTGGAACGAGACAACAAGAGGAAAGCCTACGAGAGTGCTCTGGGGAACTTTAAGGAGGAGATTGCTCAGATCGGGATGGTAGGACCCTCCTTCTTGCTCCTCTTCTGTTGCTGGGCTGTTCTGAAGGTGGGCTTGGCACGGTACCCCTTTCTCTCTCCCCCCAACCTCCGTGTTGCTCAGTGGCTCGCCACCTTGTAGATGGAATCACAGTGGCTGTGTTTCAGTAAATCCCTCTTGTGAGGTAACTGTCATTACCTGTTTACAGATGAGATCCAGAAAGCTTTGCCTGATTTAGCACTCGGGGGCTGAGTGAGAACTGGACTCCAGGACTAAGGTCAAAGCCCAGCCTTTGCTCCATCAATTCTGTCACATGAATGAGGAGCTAAAAGGCCTGCCCACCCATCAACTGTCTGTCACCATCTGACCCTTAGGCACCAGCCTCTCCTGTGCCTCTCCAGAGACCTCATTTCCAGCCATAGTGGTCTCTAGAATGTTTCCCAAATGAGACTGTTTTCTCTTTCAGGTCCTCTGAGCTCCACATTGCACTCCCTAATTTTCTCTGACTTGGGTTCCCATAGAATTCTGGAGATGGTTCTATACCCAACACATGAAGAAGTTCCCCGAGCTGGCTCATCACCTTCCTAATACATCCCAACTGGTCACGAGCTCTGATTTCACCCACGAGCTCTGTGGCTTTGGCCACACAACCTAACTGAGCCTCAGTTTCCACAGTTCACGCTTACTTGGACTTCTTTTGGTGACCACTTCTCTAATGAATATCTGTTGAGCCTCAATCATGGGCCAGGCTTCATGTCAACATCTCCTTCACAGGCTGTGAGGACTGAGTCAGAGGACTCAGCACAGAGCAGAAGATCCAGCACAGAGCAGAAGACCCAGCACATGGTGTTCGTCCAACATGGCAGCTGTCCTAACGCTCTGGCTGTCACCTAATTAGCAAATCTTAACAACTTAGGTCTAGCTAGTGATGGTTATTTTTGACGTGGAACCATAGCTGGCCCTTCCCCTTTACAGGAGCGGGGGGATTGTACTTCCTACCACCCTGAGGGCCTTGATACACCTTCATTCTCCTGACCTGTTTTAGGAAATGGAACCTCTCATCTTAGAGTCAGGAGCATGTCTTTTACAAAAACTGATTGGGTCTGATGAAGACATCAACCTTCTCTTCAAAAAGGTGGAGGACGGCAACTTGGAAAGCTACAGTATCCAAGTAGGAGTCCCCAGTGGCTGTGCCTCCCCCTCCCTGGTCCCCTGGTCCTGCCCCTTCCTGCCTCCATCCATTCTCCCAGCCCAACTGAAACTTCTCGGCACAGACCCTGATGGAGCTGTGGGACCAGGTGACTGAGCGGTACCTGTCTCAGAAGCAGGAGGTGAAGGGGCTGGATGAGACGCTGCACTCGCTTGAATTCTCCCGGGCAGACAAAGTGAGTTGAGCTTTTGGTGATTTTGTCTGGTGGGATATTATGGGGCATCATCTATTGTCCTTTAGTTCTCTACGGGAAACAAGAGTTATTAACTATGGTGTCTTGTTGTGTCTAGCTAAAATTTGTGTTGAAAAAATACGTGGGGATCATAGAGAAAACTTCCTACCTCATGCAGCCGGACGTGTACAGGCTGATAAATAAAGAAGCCATGGTGAGTGGTTGCCCTGGGCGGGGTTCAGCCCACAAGAGAAGGAGCAGGACCCCAGGATGCCCCAGAGCCTGGTGTCTCAGGGGCAATGGGCTTCTCATATGTGACACTTCCATGTAACTCAGGTTGGACACAGAGGTTCAGAACCAGAGTCTTTGTTCAGTATAAGCAATGGAAATCTTTGCAAAGCACACTTCACACTTCCCCGCCGTCTTACTCCTGGGACACAGCTTCATGGATCTTGCTCTGTTGTCACACTTTCCATGGCTGTTGTCTCTCCTGCTGCTGATTGTCAGTGCCTGCTGCTGAGCCAGGCCTGCACCTCAGCTCTGTGCCCACTGCTTCCCCCATCCACACCCTCAGCCTCCTCTAGCTGCTTTCTTTGGAGTAAAGAACCAGGAAATGCAAGGTTGTTATGATGTGTCCAGCAGCTGAATACAGGCTGACCCACTGCTGCGTTGAAGGCAGATTCTTTCAGCTATGCAACGGCCACTTTCCTGTATGGGTCTCCTGTCTGGAAAGCTGGGCTGGCTAGAAGTGGGCCTCCTGGCAGCATGCAGGGCACATTGAACCATGATGGACTCCAGTCCAGATCTATACCTTGGGGTCCTGAGCAAAACACAGACAGGGAGTGAGCACAGCCCTTCCCTTCCACTGCCCAAGCCTGGAAGATCTCAAAATAACAGGCCCTGCACGCAGAACTCCCTGTCGATAAAATGGGAATATGTCAGTGCCATCACCTGTTGGGAGGATGATTAAAGAGAGCTCACTGACGGCAGCTGAGTCAAGCAGGAGTTTTTAACTCCTTTTGTCCATGTGACCCAGTAGAGCAGTCAGTTAGCAGTGTCCTGGTTTTACTTCATTGTTGGGCTTGCCTGTATTTCTTTTACTCATCATAACAACTGGCACTTGCTACCGTTCTGGGTGCATTTGTGTCCTTTGATTTCACAAAATGCCTATGCTATAAGTAGCACTGTCTTTATATTGTGGCTAATGGGAGGCTCAGAGAGTATAGCACCCTCCAGCTGGCACCCTCCAGCTAGCACCCTCCAGCTAGGAAGTTTAGCTGCCATCAAATGTCCAGTCCAATGACAGGTGCTACTGAATTTCTAGCCCCTGAGCCTGATGGTTGCCAGCCTGACCCAGCAGTGCCAAGAGGGCTTTGGGGAATGGGGTGGGGCATTTCAGCTTTTCCAGTCTCTGGGGCATGGAGAGGCCCATCTGATCTAAGGAGGCAGGATACTCAGTACCACATAAGTTATCCCCACTGCCATAACAAGGGTCCCCAGGAGAGGACCAAGGAGAGGACTGCCAAGAATGTTCTAGCTGTAACTCCATTTGGTAATCGGATCCCATTTCTCATCATTGTCATATGTGACTAGCCCCTGGTGGCACAAGCACTCTGCTTTTGGAACAAATGTATAAGCAAAACAGTTAAATGCTGAAGACCCACTGGAGTACATCCCTCCAATGAACTGAAATCACCTTCTGTAACAATCTGATGTGAGCTTGCAGTGGGGTTGGAACTCACATGTTCAGGGTGTTACAGAAAACCCAAGGTGAAATGGGCCGGTCAAAGTGTGGGTCCTCACCTGCAGACTTAAAAAAAGTCGTATAATGACTCCCAACTACATACAGCACACAAAAAGCATTAATAAAGGGTTTGATTTACAAAATAAGGAAATAAAGAGAGGATAACCCAAGGAGAAAGAGATAAATTGGTGAATATATCCTACCAGTTCTGCTGAGCTGAGAACCCAAGAGTACAGTGAAGGCTGGGGTTTGTGTGTGGGGGAAACAATCCCCCAAGGCCCACTCGTTTCTGGGTACACACCAAGCCTGGCTGCATCCTTCCTTCCATGGAGATGACGTGATGGAATTTGCAGTCCTTGGTTCCTAGATCTCTTTGGCCTGGGGTGGGGTGGAGTCTATAAAACCTGAGATTGTGGAGTTCATTCAGGACATCCTCTCCTTCCCAACAAGGGTTCAAAGTTAAGACTTCAGAAGACAGCTTTGTCCCTGTTCATGGCTGCTGAGCAATAGTCAAGTTCCTTGAGTGTCCAGCGAACCCTCAGCAACCTGCAGTGGCTGCCCCTGCCCTGCTGGTTCAACGCTGGTGCCCAGTCCCTCCCAGTCTGTCCCTCAGCTGACTTGTCTCCAACGGACCCTGTTCCAAGCCCCCCTCTGCCTCTTCCTCCCCGGAGTCTCCTCCCATCCACAGCCTGCCCTCCTGTGACCCTAGATCATCAACCACGCTCTGCTGGGTAACCGGAGGGCCCTCGCCCAGCTGTTTGTCAACCTGATGGAGGCCACACTGCAGCAGGAGCTCGAAAGCCATCGCCGCTGGCAGGACCTGGTGGATGTGTGGAAAACTCTCAAGAAGGAGGCCGTGGTGCAGAGTTTCTGGTCCGTGACTGTCCCCCCAGATGACTGGCGGAGGAAGGGGGCGGCAGGCTGCCCCACTTTGCCATTACTTTAGGGTGCTGTTGTTTTTCTGGTGGTAAAATTAGTATGTGTTCTTTTTTTAGAAAGTTAAAATCGCTGAAAGGATCAAGGCGAAATTTAAAATGACTACAAATCTCTCATTGCAGAGAAAGGCACAGCTAATATTTGCCGTTTTTTCTCCCAGGCTTTTTTAGACCCGATTGCAAATGTAGATGTGTGCCTCATCTTCTTTATAGGTTGCAAAAGCACTTTCTGAGCAGAGCACAAGTTGTTTGTGAACATTAGTCTGATGAGCTGCCCAATTTCCTCTCTTTCCTTGTTCTCACAGCTCTATACTACTGGGTCAAGGAAAATGGCCATCTTTCAAGCTTTGGCTACCTCCTTATCCCTGCTAGAAAGTGCACCCGTCAATGCAGGCTGAATCAGGGCCCGTTCTCCACACTTCCAAGTGGCACTTTGGCTCAGATAGACAGAAGGGTCTGGGGAGTTGGTCCAAAAATCATGGCTTGACATTGTTAGCAAAGAGACACTTTGGGCCAAGATATCTGAGAGTAACAAAGGGTGTCTGTCCACCTGCACCGCAGGTGAAGGGGTGGGAGGCCTATCTGTTCATGCACATTCCGGAGGGAAAGCACCAGATCCAGAACTGGTTCTGGGGGTGAAGACAAATTACACCAAGGTCTGCCCCACCTGAACTTCCCCGTCACCTTGATCAGGCACCTGCACATGCAGAGCCTTTTCTTCTGCAATACAGGCATGGATAGGTCTGCAGTGGGATTTCTGTGACCACAAGATGCAGTGTGAAGTGCCTGGTCTGGGCCTGGGAAGTTGTAATCAATGGCAAATCATCCACAGTGATGGCAGGAGCTGGCATTTTCTGGGCAGTTCCCATGAGCCAGGTGTGGTGCTAAGGGCTTTGCTTATAATATCTTGCTAAGTTTTCACACGTACCAGATGGGAAAGGTACTGTCATAATATCACTATCATAGCTCCATTATAGAAGAGGAGACTGGGTTTTGGGGGTGTGACTTACCCCAGGTCACAAGGTGGCCCGACCCACCTCTGGCTCCATTTCTGCTGGTCCCATGCTCTTAGTACCAGAGCGTCACTGGCAGTGCCTGCTTCTTGCCTCCCCCTGCCTCCCTCCCTTTCTTCTCCTTATTGTCCCTGGGGGCCAGGGTGGGGAAGAAGTATTGAGGAGTCATATACTGATATAAGGCACCCGAATTCTGAATGTTCTGACCATGGGTCTTATCCCCTGCCTCCAACCCACCCTGCTCCCCTTCCCTTTTTCCATGATGCCAATATATCTGTCCTCCCAGTGAGTTCATGGCCAGTGAGAGGATCCAGGCTCCTCCGACTGTGAAGAAGAAGCTGGATAGCATACTGAAGAACCAGGAAGTCCTGCAGAAGAAGCGACTGGACCATCTCTGCACCATCTGGTACCAAGGGAGGACTCACTAGGCAGGAGCACTTTTGGGGGTCCATGGGGATGCAGCAGAGTCCTCAGCATTAATCTTTCTCCTGAATCATAAATAAGTGAAGTCAGAAGAAACAGCAAAGCACTTTTCCTGGCACAGAGAATTTTATCCACCTTGTTAATGTTACACCCATGTGAGAATGTAACCTCACAAGAGCAGGAAGTTTCTGCCCGGGGGGAGACCTAAGGGCCCCCAGAGTCATTGTATCCAAAGAGAAATTAGTCTTGGTGGTAGGAGATAATACCTGCATCTCAGGGCCTCAGGAGGGGGCCGGCAGGGCCCAGGAAGAGAAGTGTTTCCCAGCCAGTGGTGGCCTTAGTCCTGCTTCCTAGCGGAGCATGGAAGCAAATGCAAGGCCTAGGTCACTGAGGGAGACAGAGTATGCAGGGCCTCTGTGCGTCATGCTGCTAGATTCCCGTCCGTCAAAGCCAGTCACATTATCAAGCCCAGCTCCAAGCCCAGCTCCAAGTGGTGGAGAAATAGACTCCTGATTGACAACTAATGATAGTTGACTTTTTTTTTTTTAAGATTTATTTATTTGTACAGAAATGGCACACAGGCCAGAGATACGGAGGGTGAGAGGATTCACCAGAGACAGTGGGGAGCAGAACAGGCAGATTGACGAAGTACACTGCTGAGGGGAACAGCGGGAGGGTCAGGAGAGGTCTGCCACGCCATGTGGGTCACCTCCAGGGCAGGGATCGAACTCATGTGGAAGTGGCTTTAGCTTCTTTGTGCTGTGCTTTAACCCTCTGTGCCACCAGGGAGGGCCGATAGTTGACCATTTTTTTATCTGCATTGTTTCTGTGATTTTCCTAAGAGGATTCATTGTCTTTTATTTAGGCAATACCCTATTGTTGGATATAAGGCTTGTTTGTAGTTGGTTTCTGTGTATTTATACACATTGCTACTAAGCACAATCTTTTTTTTTTTTTTCACATCTGAACCCAGGACCCAATTCAACTACAGTGCCTCACTTTCCATCTCTTCTGTGAAGCTTCAGTTGGTTAAAGATTGGCAGTTCCTAGTGGCCAGGGAAATCATTTCTGAAATCCACCATGCTCCCTTCTAAGCAACAGTCTTAATGTGTAAACTTTGTGTATATATCAAACTGTGCCTAGAAGCGGCTTCACTAGAAGTCAAGTGATAGAAGTCCCAATTTTCCCATTGGGAAAATTTGCTTTTATTTTCTAAGTGACAGACACATTCATATGGATGATCTTATCATGACATAGCCTTTTGGCATCAGATAGTCCCCAGCAAATCCCTTCCCTTCCTCAGTGTTTGTGCAGGTCCTGGGCTGAGCCACCAGTGTTGGTGAGCTTGAAGGTGCTAACCAATGTGGGTAAGCAACATCTTATCCAAGTGTAGTGTAACATCATATTTTCCTTCCCTAGTGACCTTCTGCCTCCCAATTACAGTAAAGCTCAGCTGATGGAATGGTATTCTTCTCTCAACTCCCTGAATAAGAACCTCGGTGAGTGAGATTTGCAGGATGCCTGGCTGTGCTGGCTGCGTGGCCATGGTGTATAAGTTGGACTTTATCCCGAGGGCTGTGAGAACCAGCCGGAGGTTCTGAACTGGGAGTAATGAAGTGGGTGAGCCCATCAGAGGGAGAGGGGAGTGGGGACACAGTGATCCCAAGGTCGGGGAGGAGGGCCCGTCACAGAGATTTCACAGTAAGGGGGAGGATGTGACGGCCTTGGAATGGGGATGGGAGACAACAACTTTAAAGTGTCTCCCTTTCACGAGAAAGGATGAAACACAGCCAGTTTCAACAAAATGGAAGGTATTTGAAAAAAAAAAAAATAGATGCAGCAAAGCAAGTCATAATGATAGAAAATAAATATTGGATGTTCATTTAACAGACAGTTCAATCACATAAGAAACTTAAACTACTAGGCATCAACCAACTTCTTGAGGTCTCTGAGGTTAAGTGGGGGAGGGGAAGGGACAAGGGGACATGGGGGAGGGGGGGCCATTGTCTCCTAACCAATCCTATCAGGACACTTGGCCAGGGAGAAGCTGCCTCCCTGCCCCTGCAAAGAGAAACTCCCCTGTCTGACTGCCCCTGCCAGCCCCCCCCCCTTTCTGGAAGAGCAGCTGATTTGTTTTGTTCTCCCTGGGCAGATGACTACCACGTGAACTGCATGATGCAGATTCACCTGCTGTACGAGGACACATGGCAGGAGTGTCTGGCCCAGGTGCAGAAGAGTAAGGTGGGTGCTTGATGTCCCCTTCCGGCCTGCTCCTGCCCCCTCCAGCCTGGATCCGTTTTCTTTCCTCACACCCCCGACCCTTGTTGACCTCTGGGTAAATTGAAGCTGTTCCCTCTGCCTGGACCCCACTCCAGCTCCCCACTACCCCATCCCTCCAGTTCTTGTCCAACATGAGCTCCTCCAGGTACCTTCTCTGGTCCCACTGATGAAGTTATACTCTAGTGAGTCGGGCTTCCGCCTTGGCCCTCTGTATCCTTCTAGCACTTGACATTATTTGTTTATTGAAGGTCGTATCCTGGAAGTCCTTTCCAGGGTTTCACTTTTTTTTTTTAAAGCTTTATTTATTTATGCATACAGAGCTGGGGTACAGGCCAGAGGGGCAGGTGTGATGAGAGGATCCACCAGAGACAGAGTGGGGAGCAGAACAGGCAGATGGACGAAGTACACTGCTGAGGGGAGAAGAGGGCGGATCAGGAGAGGTCTGCTGCAGCATGTGGATCACCTCCAGGGCAGGCGGGGATCAAACTCATGCTGAAGTGGCTTTAGCTTCTTAATGCTGTGCTTTTTAACCCGCTGCACCACCAGTTAGGACCTCCCAGGGCTTCACTTTTAAAAACAAGTGCCCACACTCTCCTCACACCCAACTTTTTTCTCTCTGCCCTATCTATACACGTCTGCTGGATGAGGAGACAGTGAGTTCACTTTCAAATCTCTTCAATAGCAAATGCCTGATTTTCTGGAGTACAAAGAGCTATGTTACCCCTCCCTGTCTCCAATGTAAATAAAAAGCCCCCCAAACACAATCATTTTTGGAGAGGGCCTCGGCCCTGCCTGGCCTGAGTCTGGGAAGTGTCTGAGGAGAAGGCACAGGGAGTCACGGCCCAATTGGCCTGACCTCCAGAGCCTGCTGGTCCTTCTGTGCTGATGCCCCACTCCTCTGTGGGGCATGTGCGGGGTGAGTGTTGCTTAGTCACATGCCCCAGGAGCACAGTACACCTGGCACAGGACGCTGGTATTCTTGTTCAACAGCATTGGGACTGTAGCTAGAGGTCAAAATGTGAAGTTGGGGGAGGTTGGTTGATTTTAGGTTTTGTGCATGTGCCCAGCTTTAATTCCACAGAAGGCTTGTTTATTAGGTGCCATAACTCAAAGTGACAGGAAATGGGAGCCTGTCCGACTTGCAGCAAGGCTGGACCCTATGGGATGGTGGTTTGTGCCCACAGAGTCTGCGGTAGGACGGTGCTGAGTTCAGGTCCAGCCCCATCCCTTGGCAAGTGCTTGGGCTCCTGCAAGTTCCTTTGCTTCTCCAAAACTTGGTTTCCTCATCTGTCATGGGGGGCTGCTGAGAACACCTCTGCGGGGTCCAGTGAGGCCCGATGAGACCCTTGAGGTGGGTGGCCCACAATGACAACCATTTCTGCTGCTGTGACGGTTTCTAAGAATGAGAGGCAGGGGGCAGGACCAGGCCCCTGAAGTGAAGCCCCTTGAAGGCTGAGCCAGGCTCTTCCCTGTTGCCCTGCAGAAGCAGCTGCTGGACTGCAAAGCCTTCACGGAGGAGGAGGTAGAGAGCCTGCTGAACCCATCCTTCTTCCACATGGTGGGAAAGTTCCAGAGCAAGATGGAGGAGGAGCTGGAGTGCTTAGATGTATGTAGCCAAAGACTCATGAAGCTGGGGAGCGGGGTGGGGGGCCGCAGAAGCAGCTGTCAGGAGAATGAGGGTTGGGGGCCGCCGACTCTCTGTCACAAGCGACCTGTGTGTCCTCCACACACACAGTCTCGGGCAGTGAGTGTTCCCCAAACCCTGCTGAGTCTGAGCACTGAAAGGCCACCCAACCCTCCCCGTGCCTCAGCCAAAGGACATTTTCTTCTTGGGTCAGAGGATAAACATTGAGGGGGCTCTCAGTTTTGTAACAAAGTCTCACTGCTTAGAAGCAATGTTGAAACAAATAGGTGTTGGACTGAAATTTGAATCTATGTCATTTTCATGTTTCATCCTTTCTTTTGATGTATTCAGTCATTTAATAATATCGAATCTATGCTGGAGGGTCACACACTAAAAAGGCAGGCAGAGGGCCAAATTTGGCCCACTAGCCACAGTTTGTAGACCCCTGACTCCGAAGAGACCACAGGACACACATTTAAAAAAAAAAAAGATTTATTTATTTATGCATACAAGAACTGCAGTGTGCAGGGTGGAAAGATTCACCACAAACAGGGTGGGGAGCAGAACAGGCTGACTGACTGAAACACACCTCTGAGGGGAGCAGCAGGAGAGACAGGAGAGGTCTGCCACACCATGTGGGTCACCTTCCTGGCTCCGGATCGAACTTGTGCTGCTGTGGCTGCAGATAGCTTCATAGTGCTGAGACTTAAGCCCTTCCATCACCAGGGAGGCACCGGGACACACATATTTTTAAAAGATGGGAGAGATGATTTGGAAACAGACTAGTGTTTGACTCAGATGCAGAGAGCCCAGGAAGGACAGATGCCTCAGGCCAAGGCCCACCTGAGGACCAGACTGGCCAGAAATGCTGTCCCAGGATGGGAAGCCAATGAACCAAGGTGTGGCCCAGAAGATGGCCTTACGATGGTGCTCGGAGACCATGGCCTGCTCAAAGGGACCTTCAAGAGTGAACCCCTCCTCCTCACTCTGGGCCAGCTGGCACTCAAGACTCCTCTCTGGGTTCTTCCTCTGCAGAAATCCTTTGAGGCCCTGGCAAAGCGAACAGAGTGGCAGAGCCTGGACCTCTTCAGCTACTTCCAGGATGCCGTGCAGCTGTGGGAGGCGCATCAGAATGAGCTGTCTGTGCAGGAGCTGGAGCTTGAGAAGAGGATGGAGTATCAGCAGCAGAAATGCAGCCTGGAGGACCAGGTGTCCCCCTCACACCCCAGGAATCTCCTCAGGAGACAAGGAGAGGGCTGTACCCAAACTGTCAGTTGCCTGATGAACTTGCTCAGCGGTCCATGAACTCAGGATTTAGGTGTTAAAAGAAAATATAGCTGAAGTGCAAATGTGGAACCGAAAACTATGAGGCCTGAAAAGTTGGGGAATTTAAGGCTCCCCTGGGTCATAGGACCAGCTGGGAGTAGAAATCTACCTGAGTCAGGTCTGGGTTTATGATGGGTCCCCGGATCCAAATGTGACTATAAGAGGGTGTGTGTAAGAGACGGGTAGTCGGAGGGTGGGAGGTGTATGGCACATCTACCCTTTGCCCCCCAGGACATGAGACCGCCCCTCACATCTGCTTTTACATGGTAGGAGGGTGGGAAAGACACACTCAGTATCTGATTTCCAGTGGGATGGGGCGGGGGGCAGATGCCATGGGGAGGAGTAGCAGGGGCCTGCCCAGGTGACATGGATGTGAGACCAGGTCTCTCAGGAGTCCGTCTGAGCTGGGTCTCGAGGGGAATAAAGAGTGGACAGAGACAAACTTTCTAGGCAGAGTGGAACCCAGAGTCCCGGAGCAGTGAGTATAGGTGGTGACGCCCTGGGTGCGAGGACCTGCCTGGCATCTGGCCTCCCCTCCAGGGACAGCATCTCGATGTCACCTGTACTCTGAGCTCACCTAACTCATGCTTGCCTCTCCCTCTTTTGGGGTTGGCTGCCAGGCCCAGGAAGACCAGCTTGACCAGCTTGTGGACCAACTGCGGCAGCAAAGCCTTGAGGAAACACTGAAGCTTCACCTGGAAAGGGCCAAAGATTTTCTGAAGACTATGAAAAGCAGGTAGGCTGACCAGACCCAGAAAGACAGAGGCTGGCCTGGAATCCATATCCAGGGGCAGAGGCAGCCCGCTGTGGAGCCCAGGGCCAGCCCTACAGGCTCAAGATCCAAACACTCTGCCTCTAACTTTGCAGCCCTGCTCTCAGCCAACAGAGATGATCCCAGGGAGAGCTCTGTTCTGAAAAGTTAATGGAGGGAGGCTTCAAGTCCATGGAGTTTAAGGACCAAGAATATATATACCAGAGGAAAAAATGTCCTTCATTCCTGCCAGCAATTTCCTTTCGTGGACATATACATTTATATAGTATGTGTATGGTTTTTTCATAAAGATTGGATCATTCTATGCAGATTGTTTTACAATTATATAGAGTTTTATTTTTAAATGGCCATGTGGAATTCATTAGTATGGCTTTTTCTTATTCTCCAACTGAAGCGCTTTTTAAGGTTGGTTCTAATATTTCTGTATTAAAAATAGTTCTCTGGAACTATTTTATATCATTGTGCCTTTTTTACAGAAAAATTTATATGGGCCAAGCACAGAAATGCAATTGCACTGACAGTTCACTGCAGTACTTACATGCAGATATCTGGAGACAAATAAGTAACACTTGAGCTTTGGTTTTCTCACCTGAAAAGATCTAGAGCAGTGAAGGGTTTGATGGGATAATGTGGGCAAAGTTCAAGGAGACTGTGGTTGCAATAAGCAGAGAACTCATTCATGTGTATTTACCAAATGTTCTACAAAGAAAAGATATTCCTTACAGAAACAGCGCAATAGCGAAGCAAACCAAGGCCTGTTACTGCGGAAGGAAACCTAAGCAGCAGGTCTGTGCAGAGTAAAATGTCAGATTCCAGCCCATTTCAAGGGTGAGGACAGGACTCTGATTTTTTTTCTTTTTTATATTGTTTATTTTTGTACAGTACTGTATTTCTCCTCTCAGCTATAGACGCATAGTTCTCCCACCACTACAGTACCTGTGAACTGTTACCATAGTCCATTTTTCTCTCCCCCATTTTATTCCCTTTCCTCCCCCTCCCCACTAGAAGCCTCTGGTCAGCTTGCAAGTTTTTGCCTTTTACCTTTTTTCCTCCTGTTTTATTTTGTTTAGCATAATACCTTCTAGCTCCACCCATGCTGCTGCCAATGACATGAAGTTATCTGTTTGATTGATGAATAGTATTCCACCCCACCATATCTTCTTGATCCATTCATCTGTTTCAAGACATTTAGGTTATTTCCATATCTTAGCTATTGTAAATAGTGCTGCGATAAATATAGGAGTGCAGATTTCCATTTGAATGAGTGTTTCTGTGTCCTTTGAGTGGATTCCTAGGAGTAGAACTGCTAAATCATATGATAGATCCATTTTTAGTGTTATAAGGAAACTCCATGCAGCTTTCTATAGTGGCTGGGTCAGCCTGCAGTCTCATCAGCTCATCAGCAGTGTAAGAGGGTTTTTTTTTTTAAAGATGTGTTTATTTATGCATACAAAACTGGGGTACAGGCCAGAGGTGCAGGGGCAGTGAGAGGATTCACCAGAGACAGAGTGGGAAGCAGAACAGGCAGACTGACGAAGTCTTCTGCTGAGGGGAGCAGCGGGCGGGTCAGGAGAGGTCTGCTGCACCATGTGGATCACCTCCTTGGTGGGGTTTGAACTCATGCTAAAGTGGCTTTAGCTTCTTAGTGCTGTGCTTTAACCTACTGCGCCACCAGGGAAGTCCTGAGAGTTCCTGTTTCTCCATATCCTCCCCAGCATTTGTTGTTGCCAGTTTTTATTATGATGATGATGATGATGGCTGGGTTATCACACACACTGCTCAACTTTTTAGACAGTGACCTTCTCTTCCTCCCTCACAGACATGAGAGTTCTCATGCCCTCCTGACAAAGGAGGTGACAGAGTACCCCATGATCATCCTGACGACGCTCAACTCCTACAGCTCCTCCCTCAGCAGACACTTCTATGTCCGTGAAATCTTTGAACAGGTAGGACAGGGATATTGAAAGCCCAACCACTCATCAAGAAGCAAAAGGAAGCGGATGACTGCTTGTTCTGCTTTCTCTCAACTTTGAATGCTTCCCCAATCCCCTCAGAGTTAGAGATCAGGGCATAAAGGAGGAAGAAGCTGAAAGCATTTCTAAATAAGACAGTGACTACCCCCTCTGCTACTCAGGGGTCCCTCACAAACTCTGCCAAGCACAGTCCACAGCCCCCATGCACCTCAGAAGCCCCTGCTTCAGCAAAGCCCTCTCCCTTCCTGCTTAAGCCCTTGCACCCCACTCCTCTGCTGGATCCTTCAGTCTCCACACACCCAGCACCCACCCAGACTTCCTGCCAACATCAGGGACAGGAGCCCACATCCCCACCTCACCTCCCTCACCCCTCACCTCCTCGCCCTCAGGGTGCCTGCTGTCAGCTACATGAGTTCAGAGCATGCCTCAGAAGGTGTTTCCTGGAGGCCAGGCATGTCTTATTGACTTTTATTCAACATCAAGTGCCCTTCACATAGGGGCTCACCCACAGCTGAGACAGATAACAGCTCCTGGGGTAAAGGTGGGAAACCTGGGGGTCTTGGTCAGATGCTCGCACAGTTGGGCTCTCCCACACTGCCAGCTGGATTTCTGTGTGGCCAGAGCTGAAAGTGCTGTGGTTGACAGTGAACCTGGCTGGGAGGTTGCATATATGGGGGTGCCCAACTCCTGGGAGAATCCCTTCCCTCACCTGGATCCCTGTTCTGATTGCACCTTCACTCAGTCTCCCACATTTTTTCCTTGCAGAACCTAGATGGTGATGTCATTTTCAAAATAAGGGAACCAGGTAACACTTTCACATTCAGTTCTGCCTGTTCCTGACTTCAGGCTTTTGTTTGTTGCTGCATAAGGTTCTATGTCTGTACACTCGACTAGGCTGGGGAGGTGAGTCCAGGGTACATTTGTAACCTATTTCTTCTTCCATTTGGGGTGCTTTTAATCAACAGAAGCACGTGAAAATCAGTTCCAGGAGATAATGAGAAAACAGAGGAGAAAAAAGTGGTCAAAAGCAGAAGAGAGCAAAATAAAAATAACCATAACTAGAGGAACAAGTTCTTCAAGTTCAGCCGAAGAAATGGAAAGAGATCAAGACATCGGGTCATCCACGACTGATGAGATAGACCTGCACCAGCAGGAAGTGTCTATCCTGGGTGATGAACTAGATGATCTCATAGAGAGCAATATGCAGAGATGTGAAGCAATGCAGGCTGACAGGGGAAGTTCCCTGACATTATCTCTGGACCAAGAAGAGGTGATGGTTCAAGAAAAGGAGGAGGAGGAGATGAAGGAAAAGGTGAAAGAGGAAAATGAGGAGGGAAAGGAAGAAAAGGAAGTGGTGGAGAATAAAGAGGAGGAAGGAGAGGAAGAGGAGGAGGAAGACCAGGAGAGTTTGCTTATGGATGAGGTAGACTGGCAAGATTCAGTTTTGAATGGAAGGAAAGTTTGCTAGGATCACTCAGAGTATCTTTAATACAGGCAGTAGTGAGGTCTCCATTGCAGTATGTTATATGGGATTAAAAGGTGTGCGCTTTATTTTTGCTAAAAGGGATTCAGTTCTTATCTCACAGCAAGGAAATTTTTTAATTACGCTTCCTTTCTACACATCTTCCAAAGTTACCCTCAACTATATGACTTCCTCATCCTTCCCTGGTCTTCTCTCCTTATCACTGACTCTGTATTGTCTAGATCCACTTAGGCTCTTCATTCCTTCTCTTTTCCCATTCTTTGGCTTTATAACAAAAAAGAAATGTATCTAAGCTAACAGACAGCTCTCCTTAGAAGGCAAGGAAGTGACTCATAATAATAAATCTCATCTTCACAACACATTTAATCTCATCAAACAGTAACTCGAATTCTATAATAATAAAGTTGAAAGACACTCTTTCCTCTATTGCTGGGGAAAGAATTAGCACACAAGGTTTCTTTCTGAGCAGGATCCCAAACTCAAATGTCCTCAGACATGTAATAGAAAAGAGGGAAATCAGTGCCAGGTGATGAAGACTGCTGTCTGAGTCCATTCAGGCTGCTAAAACAGGCTGCAAAGACTGGGCAGTGGCTGTCAACATCAGAACTTTGTTCCTCACAGTCCTGGACGCTGGGATGTCCAAGATGAAGGAGAGAGATTTGGTGTCTGGTAAGGGCCACTTCCTGGTTCATAAGTGGCCATCATCTTGCTGTGTCTTCAGATGGCTGAAGGGAAAAGGAAGCTTTTGGGGACTCCTTTTATAAGGACAATAACCCCACTGATGAGGACTCTGCCTTCACGACCTAATCACCTTCCAAAGACACCACCCCCAAATATCCAGGCATCGAGGATATGGACTTAGTGGGGTGACGAATTCTTAGTCTATAGCAACTGTGACTCATTACTCAGCTCCAGCCAGTATTACCATGTGGAATGTGGACTTCAGAATACCACATTCTCTGAATTTATTTATTTATTTATTTATTTATGCATTCAGAACTGGGGTACAGGCCAGAGGAGCAGGGACAGTGAGAGGCTTCACCAGAGACAGAGTGGGGAGCAGAACAGGCCGACTGACGAAGTACACTGCTGAGGGGAGCAGCGGGCAGGTCAGGAGAGGTCTGCCATACCATGTGGTCACCTCCGGGGCAGG